CTCATACGCTTCTTGCACCTGGCGAGCGGTATATATCATCAAAATGAATTCTGTAAAAGCTAACACACAGGGGTTGGCAGAGAATGCTTTTTCTTCGAGTTGCTTCATTATCTGGTCACGAAAACGTTCTTCTTCAGGGTCGTCACTCCTCTGTGACCTGGCCAATCATTATTTGGCTTAATTGATAAGTCTCTGTCCGCTGCTAACTCTGGAACTTACTCGTCGTCACCCTCGCCTCGGATACTGGAAAAGTTTCGCCTCGGAGATGTGTTTGAAGCAAGCCCTGTGCTGGGTGCTTTCACAGTCAGCGCGATGGGAGTAATCGCAGATCCATCTAAATTCAGAGGTTGCGCTGGTGCAGGTCCATTTGCGCGTGGAGTTCCCTCATAAAAAATCTGGTCTTTTAAATTCGGGCTGTGAGCTCGGTCGTGGAGACCACCGCGATCAATCGCACTTCGATACTCCTCCGCCTGTTTAGGCCTCAGTTTCTCAAGAAAAGGGTCAAGAAGTCGTGCACGATCTGCATCAGATGCGGTCACAAATATAACAACGATGAGATCCTTAGCAGCCGTGCGAACTTCCTCAAATGTATGCGAGGCGCAGCCATGCGCCTCCACAAATGCAACAATCGACTCTAGAACCAGCGCATGGGGACCTCTCTTCGCTACGTCACGGCTTTCAACTCCAAAGTCAAAAACGAGACGTTTCAGGAATTCAAGGCGTGTTGCAATAGGGCGCCACTTGTTGTTGTGCGGCGGGCGCTTCCTCGCTAGCGACCGCATCACTTTCTCAGCAACACGATCTGCACCCACAACGCGGCAGTGTGAAAGGGACAGTAGTTCGTCAACCGCCTTTTCACGAAGCCTAGGTTGGTTGTCCCCAAGCTTGGCAACGACAGCAGCAATCGCGGGTTCAAGCACGGGAAAGGCGTCGGCACGTTTTAATCCACGCGCCGCCAACTTGTGAGCAACATCATCAAGCAACGCGAGTGACGTCAGGTACACCTGCGCGATCTTGTCATGAACACCAATTCTGACGATGTCACATAGCCGTTCAATATCTTCGATTTGCTCCCAGTGCCCCTCGTCAACGAGCACTCGTGCTTTTGCGAGAGCCGCCTCTCGCAAAGTCCAATTCTTTGAGAACAGACATCGCGCGCGGTAATCACCGATCAGCGCAGTTATGGAATTGATATCTACATCACTGCCCAAATCTGCTGCGAAAGGTTCGGGCTCAGGCAGCTCAGCTGAATTCGGCACACCTCCCAGGGCGGTTCGTGGTGCGTCACCAACAGATGAATCAACAACGTTGTTAACGTCCGCAGCTTTACTTGCACTGGGGCTTGACTTCAAAGAGGAAAACTCGGACGCCAGGTTGGTGTAATCTAATTCTTGATCGTGATTTTCAGGCAGCTTAACCGGTGGCTCTGGCGATTGCATGCCGCAGAGGCCCAGTGGCGAGGCGGATGCCTGAGGGCTAGCATCAAATTCAGCTTCGAGTTCCGCGTCTCCGTCGACTGATAGCGGGGGCACGGGACTCCCAATCGCCATCGCTGTTGGCACAGCCATACGTGGAAACGGGTTTCCAAAAGGCACGGCCCCGTGGCTGGAGTCCTGGGACGAAGCGAATTCATCGGGCATCAACACGGTTGCAGGATCAGGCTTTTTTAAGTGCTCGGAGGTTGCTGATGATGGCACGTCATGGGGCTCAACTACAGGTGTCCTAATAGCATGTTGCTCTAAAGCCATTTCAATGTGTCTCCGAAGCCCGGAAACCTCGTGTTTAAGGAGCTTGGCGCGATCGTAGTCCTCATCTCGGACTGCCACGCGTTTTGATATCTCCAGCTGTGCCAGCTGCCCGCCAAGGGCCTGTAGTTCCTGTTCTGCCGCTTTGATTCGCTTCGCTGCATCGTAGTCTTCAGCCTCGATTGCTGTCTGCTTAGCTATAAGCAGCGATCGTATAAGCCGGCCCGCGCGAGGATCAACCTTAGGATCAACCATAAAATGACATCGAAAAACTTAGTAGTACACTCGTGCGTATTACATTCATGTCAAACGCAAGATCATCGACGCGTTCGCGGCGTGGTAACGAACTACTCGGTTTCTCTGGGTTGCGCTCATTAGCTGAATTGATTGAATTCTTGACATACTCTCCAAGGACCTGCGCCTCAATTTTATCAGGAGTTTCACAGATGATGACACGCAAATTGCGTTCAATGCAACAATACCAATCTGGTTGAATAAATTTGCCTGATTCACATGGCAACAATGCATCACAAATTTTAAATATCTACCCTTTGCATCAACATACACAGACTTCAGCTCACGAGCCTGGTGCCTAAAAATGCAATATTCGAACAGAACTAATGAGGATACACTGGAGATCACTGGCTCCGCTCGTTGGGATCGAGGGACATATAACCAAGTCTCGTCCATAGGCTGGGTTCTGTACCACAAGTGCCAGAACCAACAAAAAGTTCCACGCGAGTGGCCTAGAGCCCGCGTAAATCAAAGCAGGGATCTGCAATTAACGCTGCTAGCGTATCACTATTTTGTTTTGGTGACTGAGCAATTGGATTTGGGAAATGATCGCGTCTTGCGCCAATTCTATGACAACATGCTGTGGGTACCTAAGCTTAGTTTTATGCACTATCGTACCACGTTGCCCGACATACTCGCAGAAGCGCGGAGTTTGCCACCCTCGGGTGTGTGGTGTGTGTACGTTGAGCTCAGTGGCTGGGAAATCTGAATCGGCACCAGAACACGAGACAACCTTGTAACATAGTTTTTCCATCTGCGAGTAGAGCGAACTGGTTACCGTTTGCCATTTAATTCGGGTTTGCTCCGCCAGTGGCGCCGGCGGCACCCTTGCGTGCGCGGTGGGGTGATCGACTAAAGTACAGGGAAATGGCGTTCCCCAGCCGCCACACCCATGTCGCGCCCAAACCAAGGGGCGTATCCAGCGCCATCGATGGTGGTGCGCGCCATACTGACTACGAGGAATTCCCTTTTTAGGTTCAGCCCCGCAACTCTCCTTACGCATAAACCGTGGAGAATTAAAGTACAAGGGAGGAGAGGAGGGGCCTAACTAGGGATACTCTCAGGATCGAGGTCCTCTAACTAAGGAAAACTCTCTAGGTTAGTATGAGACGGACTTGTACGCCGCGGGGCTACAGTCCATTTCTTACAAAAGTGGCCGTAGATGCTCCAGCTTCAAAGTAGTCGTCACCTCCAGTGTCAAGAACGATGAACGTGCATTTCTATGCCTCGGATTTGGCAAGGGTCGTCAACATGTTGCTTTCAAATGCTATGAGGTGCCCACCAATTGTGTGCCTCTACGCGCTGCTCGCAGTGTGATTAGGCATGTGAACGACAGGTTTCCTTCGCTACTATGCTTGGCGTCTGGGAACTGTGGACTTCATAGCAGGACTTCACGCTCTAGTTAGTCAAGTCCGTATCGAGTTTGACTGCATCAGTTGGAGACTTTAACGTTTAACAAAGTCTTCACAAGCAACTCTATATTATGAATTTTTAGTTTGAGATAGATGATCTCCGATGTTTGGTGTTATCATTTCTGACCTATTTCAAACTCTAGAATTGAAGTTTCAATTCTGGGGGTGTAGAGAGTTTTCCTAGTTAGAGGATCCCGATCCTGAGAGTATCCCTAGTTAGGCTCCTCCCCTCCTCCCTTGTACTTTAATTCTCCACGGTTTATGCGTAAGGAGAGTTGCGGGGCTGAACCTGAAAAGGGAATTCCTCGTAGTCAGTGTAGTGAACTTGAAAAAGGGATCTACCTGAATTGAGTAGCTTCGTGATTCCCCATCATCCCCGTAATTTACATTACCCTGTTCCCTCACTATCGCGACGTCACACTATGGAGATGACACTGCACTACCCCGTAACGTTGATCTCAACGTTTCTTAGTACCCTAGTTTGGGGTATTTCTCTCTAATCCTGGCTGATATATCCTGGCGACTATATCACCTGCACGTATCCGTACTCTGCCTAAAAACGGCCATATGCCTCCGATAGATGGGGGTATCCAGAAGGACCGGCTCAATCATCAAATGTCGTACTCTATCTTGTCAATTGCAATGCATATCAGCCTATCTGTACATAGGCGGCAAACCGTTCAGAACCTCGTGAACTCCGCAAGCAACGAGCAGCAACGACATGAAAAGCAAGAACGACTCATGCAAGACTTTGTGACAGAAGCCGGCTTCCAAGCCGCACTTCTGCTTAAGGTCATCACATGAGTTTGATATCGTTCAAGTGATTACATATGCAATGCCTAGGCAAATGCCAGCGAGCTAAAGATAGCAACACGCAAGATTCAAGCGGCAATTTTACAGATAAAATCCAACACATACAGTCGTGATGAGATTCATCGTATGCTTAAGTTTCGCCAAGCGCAAACAGGTTTCGCTGTTGGAGGTACGTGATTCGTCTTGGTGTATCGTCGTTTCTCTGGGTGTATCGTCGG